GGGTTATCTATCCAATGCAGAAAACCATAGTTGTGTGTTGGGATTAAGTTATGATTTACATAATAGCAGCTGCGTTAAACAAGTTAAGAACAACGTCAACGATGGAGGACTTGTGGAATTGGGTTTCGCAAGTTTAGGGGTAAGGACAATGTTTATCATTTGAGCACTATAGGTGAGACTATCAGTTGTTCAATGGGTTGCTTTGGTGTCTCAGAGTTATATGAATCCATGATAAATCAGCCATTGTGCTTGAGTTGTCTCACCCCTTACGCGGCCATCCTTTGGGATCTGAGGGCCTTCGATGATAATTCAATACGTAGTCCGATCGACGTGGATGATGTAACCATTTTCAGAGAGAATACAGTATTCACGATTAAGGGTAAGGAGATTATCTCAAGAAATTCGTGGACTTTCTCGGACTGCTGTGGAGGGCGAGGTCCTGCATCTAGGAGTGAGATGATTTTCAAGGATAAGTGGTGTGCTTGTCGAGTTAAGAGGGGAGATCTGATGGCTGGTTTCTTTTTCCGATTTAACTTGATTTTGAACGAGATTTTCTCATCTAAGTTGTTCCTTTGTGTTTTTGTTTAGCCCAAGGGCTGCTGTATTATTATCCATTGTTTGGTTTGTTTATCACGTCCCAGTTATCGAATCAGCTTGTACTTTGACAAATTCTATATCTCCAAATGCGATCAGTGGGAAATGGTCTACAACAGTTGGAACGAGATTTGACATAACAGCTACCAGTGGACAGTGCTTATCCCTTGGGCCTTTCTCAGCCGAAATTAATAATATTTATCGTACCTATATATACAGATTTGAGAAAACAGTTCCTTATAAGACCAAAATGATCGATCTCACTAGAGCCACGGCTTGGATTGCTTCTGTCATGAATTTTTCTTGGTATAGGGTTGTTATTGCTGTGTTTTTACTATTCGTGGCATACCAGAATGTCGTTAGAGGAAACTTACTCAATGTTGCAATTTCTTTTGGACTGTTTTATCTAGTTAGCATGACTAGAGTTATAGCAGCAGTTAAATTAGATTTGAGTCATCCGGTGGTCTTGTCAGTTAAGTATGTTCATTGTAATGTTCACAATTTCACAAGCCACACGATCTCGGTCAAAGGCGAACTTGCTCACTTCAACGGACTGAACTGCCTGCCACGCCGTGAGCGAGTTAAATCATTATTAATTGAAGCAGCCAATCTAGCCGCACCAACAGCCCAATCCGGTTGTATCACAAGTTCGCCCGTACCAACTATAGCATCGCTCAAACTGGGCTCTTGTGCCAAAAACCAAGCCGTTAACTCGTGCAAATCAGTATGATTATCGGACAAAAATATCAAGCACGGGGTATTGACTGCATCACAGCCAGAAAATAAAGACCCAACAGCTTGGCTAGGATCTCTAGTTAA